GAAAAGATGTGTTCCTTTCCACCACCCCCCCCCAAAATGCGATGTGTTTTGTGCCAAGGGACAAAAGGGTCCCTGGCATTCTAGAAAACTTCTTTCCCTTTCCCGTGTCTCAACATTTCCTTTATTCCTTTCCTGTTTCAGATCTTCTCAAAGGCTCTAGGAACCTGGGAAGCATCCAGGCAGAGGCTTGAGCTTTGCACCTCGGGGGCCTTTAAGGCCAGAAAGGATGGTGACGTTCATATAAATCCCTTAATCTGACAGAACGGACGCCGGGCCTGGCACGTTGGCTTCCGTTTTCATCCGCCCAGACAACGACAACTGATGTGAGTTTGTTCTGTGCGTGCAGGGGTCAGCGCACACAGAGACACAGAAAGATCAGGTGGCTTTAAATGTCATTTTAAAGAGTTTGTATGACTGTAGTGCCGGCCTGAGGACCCTGAAACCCCAAGGTCCCCTGATAGCGAACGCTAAGCAGCGCTGAATTTCATCAATGTTATTGAGCGGTGGCCTCAAGAAATGACCTTTCTAAGAGCAATTTTCAATTACTGATGTGCAGCCCCAACGAAGGGAGGTTTCACCGGCCTCTTTTTAAGGGACGGGTGAAAAATGACCGAGAAGAACAGAGTTCCTATAGCTCACACAGCAGCGTTGCCGTCTGACCCCTCTGCAGAGGTCTGCACCCCTGGCCGGGCACATGCTGCAAAAGGCTGGGCACCAAGGGACCCCCCCAGCTGTTCCAGCCTCATTTATAAAACAGAGATCAAGAGGTGTGGGGAGAGAATTGATAATTTTAAGACCGCGTTTTTGCAAGACCTGCATCCCCATCCCATTCCCGCGAGCGCTGCCAGAGGTGTGGTTGCTCTCGAAGCTGGAGCCGGCACTCCAACGCAGAGCAAACCCACCGGGCTCACTGACGGCACGGGTAGAGCTGGTTTATGGCAGATTATTTTTAAGACAAGCTAATTAGTGAGGGTGCCCTCAGTTCTGCGCAGGGATACTCCAGGTAGGGCAAAAACAGCCCTCCTCAGCTCCGAGCATCCTTCCCGTTCCCTGGCAGGCACCTTTCTGAAGCAGCCCAGCTGCCCGGGAGGTGAGAAATGCCCTTTTCAGTGAGCAGCCTCGCGGATGGCAGCGCTGTGGATCCCAGGGAAGCGGGCTGTCACGCAAGCTGAAGCGGCGTGGGCACACACGCGTGCACGCACACGCGTGCGCACAGCCGGCCTTTCCCGGGAGCTGCGGTTCGCCCGCACGCTGGAGGCGAGCTGCTGGGAGTCGGAAGGGGAGGGGTATTTCGGGCTAGCATGAGAAATGGGGCTCTGGGGAAGTCGGGGAGCCTTAATTCTGCGTGAAAAGATCCGGAGCGTGAGCAGGACGCGGTGGTTTTTTTGCAGGACTAAGGACGCCAGTGCCCCGTGTCACTGAGCGTGACAGAGGGAGGTGGACATGGGGACTGTGGGATCAATCCTTCCGCCTCAGCTTTCCCCTCCTCTTCCTCAGGGACTCACTACGCTCGCCGAAGTTTGAAATGCCTTGAGATCCTCGATGGCAGGTACGGGCAAGGTCACGGCGTTAGGCAGGAGGCTGGAAAACAAATCACTGCACGTCCCATTCCTCTCCTACACCCCCTCCCCTGCTGCCGTCCGACGACCCCCTCCCTGCCAGGCCACACGAACAAAACCCTGCTAGCACGGTGCAATTCTTGCTAGAACAAATTGTTGCTGGCGTTGTAGGTTATTTAAATCCACATATTATCTCTTCCTCTGTATTACATTAGCTTCCTCCCAAACCTTCGCCATCTGTTCCACCCTCGGTTATGAATGTGAGAAAACTGAACATGCTGCTTCACAGCTACAGCGCTTAAAAAGTATGATGAGCATCCTGATGGCTCTTCCCTTCGCCCTTCCACGCGGGCTGTGCCCCTGCGTTATTGCCCAGGATTCACTCAAAATGGCCATTAATGTTACGCTGCATTGGTGGTTATTCACCTCCAGCGCTGCAGCTCGAGCCCTCCTCCCCGGGCAGGAGGTTTACATCCGACGGCTCCGGCGTGCGGGCTGGGGTCCACCGGTGAGGTGGGAGCCTGGGCAGCGCGTCTGACCTGGGCTGGGAGGGGAGAGACACCAGGACCGCTTGTGCCAGTGATCTCCCGGAGGAAAGCCTGGCTCTCAGCGAAGAGAAGTGATGGTTTCACTCCTCCTTCGGGACCCGCGTCTCTCCCAGCTCCCTGCCGCCGCGTGCGGTCACGTTATCAAAGGTGCTGGACCATCTGCGCGTCCCACAGACTTCAACAAGGTTGACGTCCGGGCAATTACTGCTGCTGCTTTTCCCCTCGGAAAGCCTGTCCGGCTCCTAACGCTGCCTGTCATTTCCCTGGTGCTTCCCGGGCGTCTGCGCTGGCAGGTGGGGACAGCCCGCTCCGGACACGGCACCCGCCTGCGTGCTCGGTGCTGTGTGCTCAGGGCTGGCTTCACTTGGAGCTCTGGGTTTTTTTCTCGACTGGCAAGCTGTGTCCTACGGTGCAGTCCACCAGCAAACACACCGTGTTCAGCTCTTCTGAAACGCTGTGTGGGGGCTTTCGAGCCTGCGCCGAAGCTTGCAAGATGAATAGGAAGCCAGAAAGCTACAGGGCTGTGCGTGGGGGTGATTTATCCACAGCCACAGCGGGGAAACTGTGGCAGATCTGTAGTCTGGTCCTTCCCGCATCCCGGCTGCTGACGGGCTGCAGATGTCACCGCTCGCTCCTCTCCGCCACCAGCTCGCTCCCATCCCTCGCTGCAGGTGCCGACACCTTGGCTCTGCGGGCAGAGCTGTGGGCAGGCGGCTGGAGGAGCAGGGATGCTGTAGGTATGGACCTGTGTCCTGGAGTACTGTGTCCAGTTCTGGGCTCCCCAGTTCAAGAAAGATGAAGAGCTACTGGAGAGAGTCCAGCGGAGGGCTACGAGGATGAGGAGGGGACTGGAGCATCTCCCCTACGAGGAGAGGTTGAGGGAACTGGGCTTGTTCAGCCTGAAGAAGAGAAGGCTGAGAGGGGACCTTA